CCGCGCCGCCAACAAGCAGTCGCCCAGCCCCTCGGAGACGTCGCAGTCGCCGGGCCGCGAGGTGATGACCTACGCGCAGGCCCAGCGCATGGTGGAGGTGGACCTGCACGGGCGCGTGCACCGCATCAGCATCTTCGACAACCTGGACGTGGTGTCCGAGGACGAGGAGGCCCCGGAGGAGGCGCCCGAGAACGGCAGCAACAAGGAGAACACGGAGACCCAGAGCGTCACCCCCAAGTCTGGGAAGCACAAGAACAAGGAGAAGCGCAAGGACTCCAACCACCATCACCACAACGCCTCGGCCGGCACCACCCCGAAGCTGCCCGAGGTCGTGTACCGGGAGCTGGACCAGGACACCCCTGACGCCCCTCCTCGCCCCACCTCTTACTACAGGTACTGCGGGTGGCCAGGGCGAGAGGGTGATTTTAGGTAGCCCTCGAGGTCCCTCGAGGCAGAGTTGCTCCCTCTCTCTGCAGGGGCTCTTTAGGAGGCTTGTGTCCATGCTGTGCTCCATGTGCCTCTCCTGGGGCCCGTGAGTTAGCCGTCTTGTGGCCCCAGACTCTTGGAGCTGTAGTGGTCCTCTCTAGTTTTGAGGGGCCCTATAACGGCAGAGTTGTGATTCCTTCATGTGTCATTGCTAGCAATTTGATTGCTACAGTCTTTCCTTGCTGATACAAAGTAGCCGGAGTTGTAAGAAAACACGTGTGTGTCCCTCCACCTGCCACACTGTTCTTCAGAGATGTTCTCAGATTGCTCTGGAGTCCCTGAGCACAAGGCTGTGGAATTTGTGTATTTGCAAGCTTAGTGCATGTTTGTTGTCCAACATATTTTCCAGGTGTGGCTGGGTAAGTTAAGTGGTCCCAAATAATCAGTAATTCTAGGAGGATTAATGCAGGACACGGGAAATAACCCTGATGTGATGTCCACCTCTGCTGTCTTGGTCACCATGTTGCCTAAGAAGTGGGCATCACATCCCAGGACAAAATATCGATGTTATTTTGCTTAGGGTGGTGTCATTCGATGGGATGGTGGGTGCCGTTTGCCATTAGCTGCTGGAACAGGAAACGAGGGGTTCGAGTGGTTTCCTCTCTAAATAACATCACGTCCCCCACAAGTGAGAGCGCCAGCGGAGGGTGCAGCCCTCGCTGTCAGCGTTAATGAACCATCGTGCGTTCCTTGCCGCCGTGCCTGCCAGCAGGACTGGCACTGCTGTGCCTTGGAAACGAGGCCACTGTCCCCAGAGCATCTGCTGCCTGCCTGGAGGCTCGTCCCGTCTCCCGTCTTGCGCTGATGAGTCTCCAAGGGCTGTAAGTTGCCCATTAGATGAATGTTATTCGGGCTGAACGCCTTGCTGGGTTGTGCCAAAGGCACTGTTGGGCTGCTGCTCTGCTCAACATGCAGCAGCACCCCCTGTTCTTGCAGATTCCTGCCTCTTCCCATCTTTTATTTATGTATGTATTTGTTGATTTGTTGGCTGGAGCATTTAAATATCCCCTCAGCAAAGGCCTGTGGAGGTTGGGGTCCAGCAGCACGGAGCCCGTCCGAGTCACTTGCTCACCTTCCTCTGCTGTCCTTCCAGGTACATAGAGAAGTCGGCCGAGGAGCTGGACGAGGAGGTGGAGTACGACATGGATGAGGAAGACTACATCTGGCTGGACATCATGAACGAGCGGCGGAAGACTGAGGGCGTGAGCCCGATCCCCCAGGAGATCTTCGAGTACCTGATGGACAGGCTGGAGAAGGAGTCCTACTTCGAGAGCCACAACAAGGGGGATCCCAACGCTCTGGTCGACGAGGACGCGGTGTGCTGCATCTGCAACGACGGGGAGTGTCAGAACAGCAACGTGATCCTCTTCTGCGACATGTGCAACCTGGCGGTTCACCAGGAGTGCTACGGGGTGCCCTACATCCCCGAGGGACAGTGGCTCTGCAGGCGGTGTCTGCAGTCACCCTCCCGAGCGGTGGACTGTGCCCTGTGCCCAAACAAGGGGGGAGCCTTCAAGCAGACGGACGATGGGCGCTGGGCACACGTGGTGTGTGCCCTCTGGATCCCGGAGGTGTGCTTTGCCAACACGGTCTTTCTGGAGCCCATAGACAGCATCGAGCACATCCCGCCTGCGCGGTGGAAGCTCACCTGCTATATTTGCAAGCAGCGTGGCTCCGGGGCTTGCATCCAGTGCCATAAGGCCAACTGCTACACGGCTTTCCACGTGACCTGCGCCCAGCAGGCTGGACTCTACATGAAAATGGAGCCCGTCCGTGAGACGGGAGCCAACGGGACTTCCTTCAGCGTGCGCAAAACTGCCTACTGCGACATCCACACGCCGCCGGGCTCCGTGCGCAGGCTGCCCGCGCTCTCCCACAGCGAAGGGGAGGAGGAGGATGAGGAGGAAGAGGAGGATGGTAAGGGCTGGAGCTCTGAGAAAGTGAAAAAAGCAAAGGCCAAGTCCAGAATCAAAATGAAGAAGGCACGGAAGATCCTGGCAGAGAAACGAGCTGCAGCACCTGTGGTTTCTGTTCCCTGCATCCCCCCACACAGGTACAACCT